TTAGGTGAAAGCCGAAACTTTGCGGAACCTAGCCTGGAGCTCGTTCATAGTACTCTTCTGACATGTCTCACTCATAATAGATCGACAGATATACCAAAAAAAAGAAAGAAAGAAAAAAAAAAGGAAGTAGTCCTCTTTTATTTTTTATTTTTCTATCTGTTGATTAGGGCCGGGAGGAAAGTATTGTTGGGTTGGTTCCCTACCTGCGTTTTCCCTCCCCACCCACCCTTTGCATGCATTTCCAAGTTGGTACAGTGCCACGTCAGCAGTGCCATGTCAGCCACAATGCCATGTCAGCAGTGCCACATCAGCAGTGCCACGTCAGCCACAGTGCCACGTTAGCAGTGCCATGTCAGCAGTGCCACGTCAGTCACAGTGCCACGTCAGCATGACGGGTCCAGCAATGGGCCTGCCAGGCCAACTGGCCAATGAGTCCATTGCCGACTACAAACAGCGCTTCCAGGCTGAGCTCGCTTTCATCGAGGCTGAGGAACAACGTCAGCTGGCAGCCGAGGCTGCCCGCCTACAGGCTGAAGCAGCGGCTACAGGCCAAAGCAGACGCAGATGCCCAGGCTTGCCGCAAGGAAGCCCAGGATCTGCTGCAGCGACATGCATGAAGCCACTGCTGCAGCGGCATGAAGCCAACAACATCGAGAGACTCAAGTTTTGGCACTTTGAACCGAACGGCGACGACGCAACACCGGAAGAGCAGCATAAGGAGTTCCTCTCCAAACTTGTGACACGGTTGTTGTATGCTTGCAACTACCAACGGTCCGAGTTAGAGAGACAGAACCAGGAACTGCAGCAACAGTACCAGGATCTGAAGACACAACACCAGGAGTTAGCGAACCTCCGCCGGATAGTGCAGAGCCACGAGGATGCAACACGGGCACTCAATTCCTGTGTACTGGACCTGGAACAAGCTGTACCAGGACCAGATGCTGGGGCTTCCAGCAGTGCACCCTCTAGCCGCCAACTGGAGGAACGCCTTGACCACGTAGTGGCAATGCTGGGCGACATCAGCACCTTCGCGGCGCCAACCACCATCAGCAGCCAGCTGGACACGTTGAAGACCGAGGTCCAGCAATTGCAGTCGACGAACTCGGATGGCAATCCAAAGCTGTACAAGATGCCAACTTTCCAACTGGAGAAGTTCGACGACTACACACGACAGGATCCGGTGCTCTGGTGGGAAGCATTCACGACGCAACTTCGGATTTTGCCTGTCGCCAAGCACGCGTACATCGGCGCCCTGTCCTTTAACTCATAGGGCAGATGCCAGACCTGGTTGACCCACCTGGCAGCCACCCACGGCGTCGACGTTGCGGATCTGAAAGATAAGATTACATGGAAAGAGTTAACACGGCTGTGGAAGAAGCGGTTCATCATCGACGACGCACCAGCACTCGCCATCAACCGTCTCTTCACCATGTCTCAGGGCAACACAGCAACACGTGACTGGCTCACGGAATGGCAGAGGATCGCGGCCGTGCCCGATCTGGACTTACCATTCACGCATCTACGCCGTGAGTTCTACAATAGGTCATGCGCTGCGCTGAGCCAGGCACTTGGTGATCGCGAGCAGTATACCACTTTCGCCGAGATCATTGACAAGGCGAGAGAGATCATCAAGACCAATAGGGCAGCTGCACACGAGAAGTCAACGTGGCAGCCGACCTATGTGGAGAAGGTAAAGACTGGTCCGCGACCGCAGCACTTCACTACAGTCCAATCGGACAGTGGAGAAGACCCAGCAACCACTCTAGCATCACGTGACGGAGATCAGATGGCTGCTGTCCAGCCACGAAGCAACAACAAGTCCCGGAACAATGGGAAGGCGAAACCAGCATCGCAGGCCGGAAATGGACAGCCAGCACCATCGGTCAAGTTTAGCTTGACCGAGGCGGAGTACAAGTACCGCGGCCGCTACGGCTGCTGCTACTGGTGCAACAGCACCAAGCACAAGACCTCCCTTTGCCAAGATCAGGCCAAGGAGGATGTGCGACCCCGTCTCAACTCGGGAAACTGAGTTTCGCAGGAGGTGAGGCGACTCCACCTTCCACTCCGCCAGATTCGGCCGCTTTGCTAGCGGCCTCGCCTCCTGCACATCTGGGGAGGATGCGAATGTCGTAAGTTCTCGATACACTTACAAGGACTATGCTGTCCACTTGGTTCCACCGCTGGACCAACCGCTCCACGTGCAACAATCAACCGCATGCACGGTTTCATCACCATCGGCAACCGATTCGGCAGCTTCGCCGCCATCTATCGCCGGGGATTCGACGTCATGGTCAAGACTTGAAGAGCTCGACCTATTGATGTTCGCGGACTTCCAATGGATGCCCGTTCCCTCGACCGGACGATTGCCGAAACCGCATTGCAACGTGCTCATGGCACAACTGCGGGATTACTTGCACAATGCAGTACCGACTCCGTTGATGGACGCCAGAGTAAAGGTTGTCGACCTTCACGCCTACATTGCGAAGATCGACCGCGAGTTCAAGACGCAACGGTACGACGACATTGACGCACCATTGCTATATGTATGCATTCAGATTGGAGAGGCGACCTGCAGCGCTTTGATCGATTGCGGAGTATCTTGCAACTACATCAGCCAGGACTTCATGGTGCGCGCCGGCCTTGGCCCACGCGTCCGGAGGAAGTCCCAGCCTACGCAAGTCACGTTGGCGGACGGTCACACACACAAGTCAATCGACCGGTGTATTGATGACGTCCCAGTGTACTTTGCCCCTCATGCAAGTGAGGCGGTTCCCTTTGACATTCTGGACACCAAATTCGACATGATCTTGGGCATGTCATGGCTGCGAAGCGAGGATCACCCGGTGAACTTCTACCACCGCACAGTTCACATTCGTGATCGGAACGTAGTACTAGTCCCATGCACGGTGCCTCTTCCTCATCCTTTGATCAGTTGCCACGTGGTATCCGCCGCAAGCATGCGAGCTTCCATCATCAGAGACGACATCGAGGAGATGGGGGTGTGTTTTCTCCACGCCCTCCCGCCCCATGACGCTTCACCGATGGACTCGTCTTCGGATCCACGCATCACCGAACTTCTCGACGCCTACAGCGACGTGTTCGAAGGCCCGCACGGAGTAGTACCGGATCGGCCCATCCGCCACGAGATCATCCTCGAGGACGGGGCCGTACCTCCGCGCGGTTGCATCTACCGAATGAGCGAGGAAGAGTTAAGTGTGCTTCGGGCACAACTCGACGACCTTCTGGAGAAAGGCTGGATTCGGCCTAGCTCATCGTCATACGGTGCTCCTGTTCTCTTCGTCCGGAAGAAGAACAAGGATTTGCGGTTGTGCATCGATTATCACAAGCTCAACTCGCAAACGATCAGAAACGCCGGCCCTCTCCCACGCATCGACGATCTTCTCGAGCGACTGGGCGGCGCCAAGTTCTTCTCTAAGCTGGACCTCAAGTCGGGATATCACCAACTCGAGATTCGGAAGGAGGATCGCTACAAGACCGCGTTTAAGACGCGATATGGGCATTTCGAATGGCTGGTTATGCCATTTGGCCTTACGAATGCCCCGACCACTTTCCAAGCGGCTATGACAACGGAGTTCCGACACATGCTGGATCGATTCATACTTATCTACCTCGACGACATCCTGGTGTACAGCCGGAGTTTGGACGAGCATGTGAAACACCTGCGCACCGTTTTGGAGCGGCTACGACAGGCCAAGTACAAAGCCAACCGCGACAAGTGCGAATTTGCGCGGCAGGAGCTGGAGTACTTGGGACATTATGTGACGCCGCAAGGCATCCGTCCGCTTGCGGACAAGATCGAGGCCCTACGAGTATGGCCCGAGCCCACCAACACCACAGACGTTCGTTCATTCATGGGATTGGCGGGCTACTATCAACGATTCATCAGCGGATACTCGAGGATTGCTGCACCTATGACGAGATTACAATCGCCAAAGGTGCCATTCATATTCGATGACGACGCATGCCGGTCATTCCAAGCACTTAAGACGACTATGCTCATGGCACCCGTCCTTAGCATCTATGACCCCACCCTGCCGACGAGAGTGACTACGAATGCTTCCGGCTATGGCATTGGGGCAGTCTTGGAACAACACGATGGCGACGACTGGCACCCTGTGGAGTATTTCAGCCACAAAGTGCCTCCCATCAACTCGCTTGATGATGCAAGGAAGAAGGAGCTGCTCGCATTCGTCATGGCTCTCAAGCGATGGCGACACTTCCTCCTTGGGCGTCGTAGGTTCACATGGGTGACGGACAACAATCCATTGACCTACTATAAGACGCAGGATACGGTGAGCAGCACGATCGGACGATGGATGTACTTCATCGACCAATTTGACTTCACACCGAAACATCTTCCCGACCTCTCAAATCGCGCAGCAGATGCACTCTCGCGAAGACCTGATCTTTGCGCTATGACACATCATGCCTTCACATTCGACGAGGAGCTTCAACGACACTTCATCAGGGGCTATGAGTCCGATCCAGATTTCGCCACGCTATATGCGCAGCTATCTTCGGATCACCCACCGGCCAGCCACTATCGCATCGCCGATGGGTACTTGCTCCTGCACTCGCGGGGCAAGGACTTACTATGTGTCCCACGCGACCGYCGTCTTCGGACTCGCCTCCTCGGCGAGTATCATGATTCGCGACTCGCTGGCCATTTCGGAGTCGACCGCACTATTGCACGGCTTCGACAACGATTCCGATGGCCATACCTCATCACCGACGTCACGAGATATTGCGACTCTTGCGAAGTTTGCCTACGAAGCAAACCCCGCAACCGCAACCCCTACGGCGAGCTGCGCCCGATGCCGATCCCGCAGGAACCCGGTCTCTCCATTGCCATGGATATCACCGGACCATTCCCCCGCGACCGCCTCGGACACGACGTCATCCTCACGGTTGTGGACCGTTTGAGTAAGTATGCGCGTTTTCTCCCTTGCAAGTACTACTCCACGGCTCCCGAGCTGGCACGCCTCTTGCACACCGGTGGCATCCTCACGGTTCTGGAGCGTTTGAGTAAGTATGCGCGTTTTCTCCCTTGCAAGTTCTACTGCACGGCTCCCGAGCCGACACGCCTTTTGCACACCGGTTGGATTTGTGGCCACGGTGTACCGGAAGACATAGTCAGCGACCTCGACACTCGTTTCATGTCGGCATTTTGGACTGCTCTCATGCAGGAGTCCGGCACGAAGATGAAGCCAAGTTCGGCTCGACATCCACAGACAGACGGGCAGACGGAGCGGGCACATCAAACCGCTCAAATGATGCTTCGTACGCTCATCCGTCCGGATGAGAAAGATTGGGTTGACCGCCTCCCCGACATCGAGTTCGCCTACAACACTTCGGTGCACCCGACGATCGGCGTGACTCCATTCGAGTTGCACCACGGTGGACGGAAAGGCCGTATCTTCGCCGACCTTCTCCTCCCACGACCAGCCGACATCGATGCCGCTTGCTCTCCCGCTTCCGTTCGGAAGTACAGGGAATTGCTGGCTCAAGCCCGCGCGAATATGCAAAAGGCTCAAGTCCGCATGCGGCAGCAAGCCAACAGGCATTGCGTGCCATGTCCCATCCGCGCCGGCGACCTGGTTTGGGTTTCCGTGGAAGAGTTTGCACTGGAACAGGAGGTTTCACGCAAACTACTTCCCAAGTGGTTTGGACCATGGCCCGTAACATCAGCCGCGGGCGATGAGCCCGATGGCCCTTCATTTGTGATCAACATTCCCCCGCATCTGACGGTCCATCCAGTCTTTCACGCCTCAAAGCTGGCAACACACACGCCAGCTAAGAGCGACGACTTTCCGGGCCGACGATCGCAGGACCCTCCTTCTATGGATGGTCATCAGGAAGTTGACCGCGTCATCACCGAC